TTAGGAAGCTAATCAGTAACTGGAGGCCTTTGTAGCTGATGATTATGTCATTTATTTTACTGGCCATTGTAGGGGTATTGATAAATGGGGCACTCCTGAAGGTAAGGTTATTCTGAACACATCTCCCTGCCTGACACTTGTTATCTTTGTTGAACAGATGCCAAGTGCACCGACTGCAAGCTGAATTACACGATTTCTCGTTATTAGGAGATACAGCAATAAATCTCTAAAAGCTACTTTCGTGGCATGAGGGGGAAAAAAGTGGTAATTATCCTCTGTTCAGTAATACTAAGAAAAAAGTTTGTACAAATTAAGACTGTATTTCCCTTATGCAAAAGTGCTTCTCTCACAGCAAGCATTTTACATTTTAAGACAGCGTATTTAAACCCTGCAAAGTCATGGGCCACAGTTCACTTGGCTACCTCAATATATGAGCATTGAAGTCGTGCTGAAACCCATGGAGTCCTGGTAAAGCCAAATGCCTCGGTTTTCATTATGGCTGCAAGTTAGGGCTTGCCTAAAGGTACAGATATTACACACATTTCCTTAGAGACACGGATTCACTGCTAGCTTATTAATTATAAAATGAACTTGTGGCTGTTACTCGGTACTCTACAAATCTGCAAGAATATTTTATTAGCCACTAAATACATTAGGGCTATTTAAATCCTGAAATGCTATTCTTAATAAGGCACCCTCTCACCTGACAGTAAATTTACAAAGATCAAATCATGACACCTCAAATAGGCCTTCCTGACCTTCTACCTATGCTCTTAATAAAGATGCCCTTTTTTCAATATATTTGAACAATTTTGCAGAGTTCTCATTGCATTTAGGCCCATGTCTGCCCAGAAATCTGCTTCATCTGGTTGTATATAATAAGAAAGAATTAAAATACATTAGGCAAAACTGAGCATCCAGTTTAACTGATATATTATCAAACCTCCTCAACAGTTAAAAAAAACTCAGTAATATAGTTGGCAACATGCTGCAAAGAGAACTGAAGTAAACTCATGCTTACATGGGTTATCATTTTAATAACGTTAGCTGGAAATTTCTTATATATGGTATGTATCTAATCCACGTAGACATATCAGAGACATACTAGATCTAGGCATGAAACAGTTAACAGCAGCGCCCATGCCAAGGTTTTAATAAGGCTTAACAATAAAAAGCTTCAATCCACCACTTTCACTAGATTTTGTTGTTGTGGTTTTCCCTTGCTTAGGGCAATCCATCTGTTAATGTTGACTTACAATATAGTTAAGCTCGCACACATATAAAAAGCCTAGAACAGCTAACCTAAGCAAGAGGAAGCTGAAACGCATATTACAGAGGGAGGACAATTCATCTTAGGCAGAGATTAGTATTTTGTGTGCCTGGGTGCGCGCATGCACACACGCATGGACGAGTGCAAGCAGGTTTTCTTTATTTAGGAAGGACTTTCAAAACGCAAACTATAGGACAGCAAGCTGTTCACTACAGTTTGCAATAACACATTTAATTATTTATCCTCCCATTAGGTTTTGACAGCTATTTTGCATGCTGTAATTTGTTTTGATTTACTGTTAATTTTTTTTTTTTGGGTCTACTGCAGATCTGGCAAAAAATATAATAAAACCACTATGACAGCAGTGATAAAGCTTAGTAAATATTCATTGTTAAAAGCGGCTCTGCACTGTGACCAGTGCTGGTATTCTCCCTGGGCCAAACTGGCCTTGTTTTCAATAAAACTGGGGAAGTATCCTTTCCCTTGAGCCCTGTTAGGCTGAGGCTGCAGTTGGAACTGTCATCTTCACACAAAAGCGAAGGGGTTGGGTTTTACAAACGCAAAGCCTAATTGGGAGATCTTCATGGCTGTACCCTTGACATTTATTAAAGCCTCATCAACAAAACAGGAAATAACCGTACTAATTAGCAGACCCGCATACAAACTACTATTTGCTGGGGTAAAAAGCAGATTCACTTTCTATAGTAAAAACGACCCTTCCCCTCCACAGCCCCGTCCCCTCCAAATATTGTTATGAACCAATCATTACAATGGTATTTTGAATGAGTGAAAGAATCTTCTGTACTATATACAAGGACTTAAATTGAAAAACATTCTGTAATATTTCAGGTAACTATTAGCTGGTATTTATGCTCAATTCTCTCAAGCAGTGAAGAAGGAAAAGCTCAATGCCTGCATCTAACATGAAGCAAAATTTAACACCAAATTCTATATAGATTTGTTATTTAATATTTTTAGCGTGGAAGGAAGAGGAATAAAGCACAGAATTACATCTTTTATGGAAGTAAGACCGTTATCTTTTGGGTTTGTTTGATTAGGTTTTTTTTGAGGTAGTCAAATACCTTAATGTTGCAACTGAATAACAAGTGAATGTTTTAAATATTTATCAAAGTGCAAGAACTACTGTGTAATTGTTAGGATTGTCCTTATGCTGCTACAGCCAGTCACGGGCACTATTTTAGAAAGCTGGGAGAAAGACTCATCTGCAGGGGAGAGCTGCAGGAAGAAAAAGATTAAATCTGACGACACTAACAACATACGAAATTCACTCTTTTTAAACTATATATGTGGTATGAGATTAAACACAGCCTTACAACTACACACTTGTGAGAATATATATATTTATATAAACATAGACTTTAAAGTAGGCACGTAGACTTGCATTTCTTGCCTATTCAAATACTTAAAAGAAGCAAAATAAGAGCAGCAAAAGCAGACTATCAGTTTTTAGAAATACCTTGCCTCATTTGCTTTAGAGGCAGGAGGAAAAAGCGGGAGCAGCCTGGATGGGAGGTAAGAGCCGCTGCGCAAGCCCCGGCTCCCTGGCAGGAATTGCTATTCGTCCCTTCTGCTCACTGGGCTCAAGTGACATTCAGGACCCTGAGGACACAGGACCCCGTTGGCAGCAGAGCGAAACGCAGGGCCATCAGCAGCACAGCCTTGCTAGAAAACAAACTCCATGAACCCGCCTGGCCCTACGTATAGATGTGTAACTACTTATGTGCACGGGCGCGTGCGCGTGTGTGTGTATACGTACACAGAGATATGTCTACTAGATGGTCTGGTATGCTCTCTTCCTGCCTTCGTTTCAAAAATAAAGACACAGCTGGTAGAAATAAGCAGGCCAGTATGAAAGGACACAGCAGTATATCGCTGCATGAACATAAAACCAAACAAAGTTCAAGTGTTCTGTCAGAACACAGGCCTACAGAAGAAATATTAAACTGCACTGAGATAAATTTTGGGGTTCTGTGTTTGTGTGTGTTCCTAGACTCCTATACCAATTGTAAATACGGTAAAATAGCCAGCAGGACTACCAAGTAAATTAGTAAATAACTGCAGATTTCTTCAATAAATACAGCCCATTAAAATTCACTTGACTTTTAAGACGTACATGTATTATATATTCACATTGTTAAATACAATTGCAGATTCACCTACACTAATTATATAAGTGTTTTATAATGCGTTAAAAGCTTTTCAGAGCCTCAAGCCACCAAATCACATTGATGGGGAAAAAAAGTTGCTATACATTAAAATAATAACGTTCTGTTAGTTATCTTTTTATTTTAAGAACCTATTCATGTCATCAAAGCTCATACATTTTGAATGGTCTGTCTTATCTTTCCACTCTCAATGAAGAAAATCTACTGTACTCAATTCTTCGATCATAAGCATCACATTTGTCTGTACGTGAAAATCTACTGAGCAGGCAGTACAATTTATCACCGACTAAAATGAAAATGTGCAGAAAGTAAAACTTGCCTATAAAGCTAAAGCACAAAGTCCCTGTATTATTTATAACCCTGGACCTTCATACAATTTCAACAGTATTTAACAAATCAATTATCTGCATCAACTTTACGTTAAAGCTCACAAAATTTATATTTATAGTGAAGCAAGACTACACTGAATGTATTACTTAAGACATTTCAGATTTGTATCATTGCAATATCTAAAATTGAAAAAAAAATTCTCCACCTCTTTCTTATCTGGGGAAGATCTAAGCATAAAAATCCATATATAAACATTCATTACTCTCTCTTTCTCTCTCTCTATATATATATGTATATAAAAACTTTCAGTAATAATATAAAGTAAAACGAAGAGCATAATATAGTCTGTAAATGTAAAGGTATTTATTGCTGGTAAAATTATAATATAAAAACTATTTATTGGTATCTTTGGAATAAAATTATTGAAATGAATATTGAGATATCAAAACAGTTGCAGAAGTTGCAACACTTCACCTGTTACTGCAAGGCAGAGCTGCAAGAGGAACTAAGAACAAAAGGACAAGAGGCTGGCACTGTATTAACTAGCTGACATTGTTAAAATAATAAATGATAACTCTTTGAGCAATGCTAAAGTCCATCTAACTCCCAAATCAATTTATTATAAATACAATATTAATGTGTCCTACCATAAGATAAATTTAAAAATAGCTTAATGTAGATGTATAAACACAGCAGAATTTATTTGGTAGGAGAAGCCTGTGTTAAAAGCAGTATTTAAGACTGAATTAAATCTCTCATATATACTAATAAATTTCTCTAATGGGAATCAATAAAATGATGCATTATGTTGAATAAGATTTTCTGTACATCAGCCCTTCGGTATTTCTAGCTATTATTATCCTTCTACATATTTTGAGCCATTAATAAAACTCAGCTTCGTTTCAGAATTTTAACTGCTGTCTGAACAAGAATCTACACTGATGTCTCTGTGCAGACATTTTTCTAGTCATCCATCTGCTTTCGGAATCTCCTATTTTCTCCCTCTCAATGGGGATGAAATACAAATAGCGTGTTTCCTCCTTCAAGCACTGTACTATAACAGCAGTATTGTGCTGCAAAAATAACTTTTTAATCATATCATCCAAACACAGACAGTAAAATAATCTTCAATACATTCACCGATGCATTACTGTAAGTAGAGAATATTTTCCTCAAGTGCATGTGAATAAGAACAGACGTTTCAGGTGTCTTACCTGCGCAAGTCTTCGTTTTTCTGAGTTTCCTCTTTTCTCATTATGCAAGGTGTAGACAGGAGCACTCTGAACGGCACCAGAGCTGCAAGTTCCACACTCTTCCTCACTCTCCTGCACAACACAACAGATATAAATTCCTTTATTTATAATCATTATCTGCAAATGTATGCTCTATATTATGCATGCAGAAAGCATTCAAAATTATCTTGCCGTAATCTATTACTGTCATGAAAATACCATCTGTAGTTAAAAAAAAAAAAAAAAGAAGAAAAAGAAAAAAAAGAAAAAAAAATCAGCTTTTTGAAAAGCCGAATTATCAGCATTGCCTTTTAAAGGATGAATTTTTCAAATGTCTAGCAGATCTTTTTGAAAGTTTCCTTAAAAAAAGAATAAGGTGTATTTAGAAAAGATATTTTTCTCTATAAAAAGATTTTAAGTGGAACAAAATTTCCAGTAGGAAAAGCAGCTGTAAAATGCCTAAAATATCTTTTCTGCTATTTCCGCAGCATTATTTTTGAAAGATGAATCTACTTCTACGTTTTTAAACATTGCCATTGTATACATGTCTTACAAAACCAAGAGAGACAACTACACCTTCTGAAATACATTGTACTGCAAGATGATCCCATCTTAAATTCTCAGCTTGAAGCAAAGGCTTCAATTGTGATATCAAAGCAATCAACTTTATGAAAACATACATCCTGTTAATGTATCTTTGAAGACCTCTGTTGTTCTATGATAAAATATGCAAACAATAAAGAGATTTTTCAGTGGATGCATAGAATGACAGATAGTTGCCAGAGGGCTCGTTATGAAAAATGTATCGCTGAACAAAGGGCTAAGCATATTTCAAAAGTCATTAAAAACACAAATCTCATGTGATTTGTAAAGTATAAGCTTCAAACTGATAAAAGCAGCAAGGTAAGTAAAAAGCGTGCTACGTACCCTGTGTTTTAACTTACTCTTCACTTCTTTTATTCCTTGCTTTGCGTGATTTTTTGCCTGGAAAATTAAAAGGGCATAAGTAGCTTTGTAAGAAATGGACTGTATGCATGAAAGAGGCTTCATGAGGCTGTACTTAATTTTTCTTGTTTTACTCTTGATGATACAAAAGACAATGATCTTTTATCAGTAATTTCACACATGCTATGTAATCCATGCTTTCTCAGTATAGCTACGTTTTTTTCTTTCTGCACACCAATGGTGTGAAAATAAACACACAAGTACTCCAATATTATTGAGGACAGGCTAAAAATGATGGTGTTTTACATCACTCCTTTATTTGAAATGGTCCTTTAAATTTGAAGGGGCATTTTAGCAGCAAGGCATGTTGGAAAAAATGTTAAGATTTTCAAGATGACTGCTACAGTGTTCCAGTCTGGCAACTTGCAGGGCAACATCAGTCTTGAGAGAAATGAAGTGATTTCATATGCAGATGGAGATTTTGCCCAGTGTTGCTGAACAGCATAGTGCTGCTATTTAGAGGAAAACTCTGGGTGTATTATAATATGCAGCCAAGGATCACCGCTGCGCAGGAAAAAAAAACCAAACTATTCTTCAATAGAGAGATGAATTACCAATATAGAATAGCACTTGGTTGTGCTAGCATATATATTCCTTCTATCTGGGAGAAAAAAAAATTAATCTTAACAAAAGAGGGGTATTTTTATCTCATGAACATGGCTAATTCAAGGAAAAAGTAGGGAGGTTTTCACAACAGTCTTGACAAGACTCATTTTATATTTAAGAGTGTAAAAAGGTGAAATCTACATATTTTCCTATGTTTTTCTATACCCGCAAATTCAGAAAAAGAAAAGCATTTTCTTGATTCGAGAGGTCAAAGAGTCTTTTTGATCCTTAAATCATACATCTATAAGCTCAATAACAGCACAATGGGGTGCCGCGTAGCAGATGCTAACCTACGAGTCACTTTAAACTTTCCAGATCACACACTCAGCATTTGGATGTACTTTGGAGTGCTTTGTTCTAAATCTGAGGAATGGTACCAATCATAATATTTAATCAAGGCTACCACTAATTAAGAAATGCATATTTCATATCTTGAATAGAAGGCTCCATAAAGGGCAAAAGCGTAAGAAATTAAATAGGTTATAAATGAGTTTACCTTAAACACATATAGAGCCTCAAAACGTTACCAGTGCTTCTCAGCATATACTGAGAAGCACTTAGAAGAATTTTATCAAGTACATTCATCAAAATAGGAAGTTGAGAGATTATGTAACTATAGTCTAAACTAGTGCAAACTAAAGAATAAGTTCTGATAACCTGTTAATCAACCTTTTTTAAATTATAAATGAGTTCATGAATGTGAAGTATATTTAATTTACCTGTTTCTCTCTTCATGACTGCTGTGTTCTTCAACTGATGTAAAATTAAAAATTCTCTTTGAAAACTTAACATGCACTAGCTTAGACTGATGTACTGATTTATTCAGGACTATTTATTATGCATCCAACTAGTGAAACACTTAGAAAAGCTAAGGACAAAGCCAAAAGTCTTTTCCCACATTATTTAAAAATCCAACCTGAAATTAATTATTTCCTTTTGAATTATTTTATGTTGTTTTTCCATACTGAATAATAGCTGTTAATTTCACATGCTTAATTGGTTACCAAGTCTTTTAAAACAAGATTTTATAAACTCAAGGGTTTAAACATTAAATATAATTAAAGGTGAGTAATTTAGTGTCATTTTTAAAATAATATAGGGCAGAAAACATTCACTGCATACGGTACAGTGAATTCCATGGCAATGGAATTGCCTTCCAATCTATTTTCAATAGCACAGCAGTTAGTGCCAAAGAAAAACTGCATCTAAGTTATGACTCAGTTTGTCTTGCAAGAACTGAGTATCACTAATAAAATGATTCTTCCTATCATGTTAGCACTATATACTAGTTTACATTTGCAAAGCATGACTTTTACACTCTTTTAATTTTGCAAGAGCAGAGTTGTGTTAAGGGATTTTAGTGTAAGTTACGATTACTATTTTCAGAGTTCATATTTTAAACATCTCACCAGTTTAGGAAAAGTTTTCAGCTGTATTATCAGCTAAGGAAATGATACTCAAATGTGTCTTGTGTGCACTATAACTCAAATAAAAATTGCATACTGATGCTTTGAAAATCTATATTGTTATGTACAAGCTATGAGGAATATTCCAAAATAAATCTAAATTTCAGTGCTCTACCAGAACATGAATGAAGCTAAAATGGTTCTGCAGGCTGAAATGTTCTTCTGAAATAATCTGTAAAAGGCTTAGAGTTTTTAGGAAGAATTAGAGGTTGTAGAAAGCTGAGGCAGTTTTACGTAATAATTAAATGAAATGGAGCATCTTACAAATTTATATGCTGTTTTCACAGCCGGAGTGGCTTTGGTCATCGCTGTGTTGATCAGTGCACCACCTTTCTGAAATATACAGAAAAACACATATTTTAATAACTCTTGGCTTATATTGAAAATAGTGAGACAACAGCAAGGAAACCTGAACAGTGTTCTGCAAAGGAACAGCCATCATCCTTCTGAATTGCTAGGAATTATCACAGCTGTGTTTCCTCTCCAACCTACTGTCTACAGCTACACAAGGGTTACACTATGTCACTATCAGAGCTGACATATTTATCAATGCATTCTAACAGAATGATGTATTTTCATTCTTCATTCTTTGTTACTATTTCAAAACCAATTCTGAAGTTACGGCCAGTCTTCATGTGTTCTTATCATATATCGTATGTAACTTAAAAATACTTTGACCTGATAGAAATAACTGTATCTCATTTAATCACACAAGAATTCTGTTAATCTAAAATAATATATTTTACTAATCCTGCAGAATAACAAGGTTATACACAGGGTCTTCTGTTAGTCAAACTGCACAAAACCATGCTAACCGAATTGCTGTCTACTAGAAGTGATAAACTTCCTATCAAATCTTCCTGTCACACCTAATTCACAGTTATGGAATGCACCATGATATGGAATACAGTGAACTACTTGATGGCACAGACAGAAAAACACTGTTTGTTTTGGCGTTTGTTTTCTGGATAGGAATAAATATATTTATTTACCAAACACATATACTAATAAAAATATAGAATGTACTTAGATAATATTTTTCTCAAAAATGAAAAAAACAGAAAAAAAGGAAAAAAAAAGAAAAGAAACCCCAACCTTTTACCAGTACATCAATATAAAGAAAGGGCAAAAATTTCAGATTGGGGTGCTATTCAGCTTTTTTTTTTTTTTAAGAAACAAATTACTTAATATGTTTATACCTTTACTGTATGCATCCACTGCTGATAAGATCTTGAATTTCCTGAAATATAAGTGCAAAAGAAAACAGAATCAAACATACATTCAACATTTTTCATGTTTCAGCCCAATCCGCATAAAAAATTCCCTTTAACGGATTATCCATTAATTTCATTCTTCCTAGATAGACCAGGAATGCTAAAGATAAGACTGTGTGTACATTAAGAAAAAAAAAAAGAAAAAGAAAGAAAGAAAAAAAGGGTATGTTTGACTTCACATTTTCGGTTTTCTTTTCAAAAGAGTATCTTTTCACAACACAGTTTTTAATTCCAATTGAGGTTTAAAGAGAAATTAAAACTGCAATAAGAGAGCATACTGCCATTTTTTTTAAAAAACAAACAAACAAAAACACCAACTTGAAGGAAAGAATAATATATAATGAATAACATTCAAGCATAATGATCCCACTGGGTAAACTTTCAAGTAAGAAAAGGACTGCAGATGGTACCATCTAAAAGAGAAAGGACTACAGAAAACACTAAGGATTTCAGAATCACTATTTTTTTTGTAGGGAAAAAAAATGGAAATTACTAACCGTCTACTTTCTTTCACAAAACCTAACTTCACATAGACAAGTGATGACTGCTGGCTTGGTGTTGCTAAAGCATTACTGAGGACTACTGCCTCACTAAGCTGCCCATAAAGTACAGGGCCAGATTTTACTGAGGGGTTGAGGAAGAAATGTATGAGCATATTTCCCAAGGTGCTTCACCTGGGCAACAAGGAATGCTTCCCTGATGGCTGAAAAGTTTTGGAGAAGATTCATCACTGAATACTCAGATACTGCAAGTAGTTACCAACTGTGGATGAAAAGTTCCAAAAGAGACATTTAATTTGACAAAAATGAAGTATTTCAGAGAATTTATCAATTTTATGAGGACCATACTGATACATCCTTGACAACTCAGAGTTTTAACAGAAGGTTTCATAAATTCTTCAACTCTGCAACAAATCAATTAACAAAAGCTTAGTTGGAATTATCTCATCGCCTAGGGGGGAGCCAAAACACAACCAAATCTCCTTCTCACAGAACATCTCTGAGATTACAGATTAGAGACATCTCTAAGTTTTTTTTTGTTAAAAGGTATTCCCAGGTATTCCCAGGGAGGGGAAAGACTGAGCTGGACTTGTACCAGGCAGCAAAACACTTCCACAAGAATCCACAAGACATTCTGAGACAGGCAAACTCTCAGGAACAGTGTGCGAGTGCGAGCAACGGCCGTTTAGGAAGGACTGAAAATGATGCCAGTATGATCATATCTCCAGTAAGAAGGTTAATGAGCAATTTAAAGAAAAAAAAAAACGAAACACTAATTAATTACTTCGTCAGTCTGCCTCTCTGGAATTACTAGAGAACGTAGCACGGAAATAATATGTAACGAGCTGACCTATAACCATGCCTAGCATGTTAGTGATGTGAATTCAACTGTAAGGACTTTCCCCAATTTGACATTTTGTTATGTTAAATTCCCGTCAACAATATTCACACAACATGTAGCCTGTGGAGCCCTTGGCAATGGCTCTCCCCACACCTGGGAATCCTCGTGGAGGGCTAAGCAAGGACTAGAGATCGCCCAGCGAGATCACAGATCACTGAGGTTTATCCACCTTCTAGTTGGGTGAGGACAGTTAGAAACATGAAACATAGAGAAACTTAGAGAGACATAGAGAAATAAAACCAATAAAGTCACCTGCAGAAAAAGCAACACTGATGCTGCATATGCTGAGCTATAATAAAATTCTTGAAACTCAAGCATGAAAACGCTGATTCCTTAAATTATTACTAAGCGCAAATGTCAAAGACTTCTTCACATCTTGACTGGTTTCCCTCATACTGCCACCAATATTAGATCAACTAAAAAAGACTGTTGTAGTAAAATTAACGTGCTTAAACACTCATCAATACAATCCACAATAAATCCATATTTTAAAACAATAAAATATCTGAAGTTTTCAGAACACCTTAAAGTTTTCAGAACTAGTATCTACTTCAACAGGATAATTCATGTCACAAAAAATGAAAATTTTGGGAAATGTGCAAGGATAAAGCACAGACTCAACTTTTGTTTCATACATAGTAATAGGGGAAAAATTGAGTACTTAATAGAAAACAAAACCAACTTATTCAAAATAAAAAATCAAAACTATTTTTAATTTCTGTTTTAATTTTCTTTAAAGGTTCGATTCTGCTTGTATATGTGGATAAATGCAAATTAAAAAGATTACTTAAAGGAATACATTCCATTTGATTCAGTAATATGCAATTATATTCTCTCTTCTTTAGAATATATCCACCTGTCTTTAGCAGTTTAAATCTTATAACTTTCAGTGACTTTTCTGAAGGCAGGCTTCACCTGCTTCTTTTTTTAAAAAAAACAAAAAACAAAAAACAAAACCCTTGGACCACATGATAAACTTCATGGGATTTAACTCTGAGGAGAGATCATAACTCTACCCCATTAACATCACAAAATGTCACCTTCAATTGCATCCATACTGTTAGCCCTGCACTTCATAACGATAATGAGACAGCAGTTATGTAAATAGTGACTATGTGCCCTGAGCAATTTGTCCACAGCCTGGCAATATGCAGCTCGTCTGACTTGAAAAGCACCCGCTCCAAGCCAGCGCAGAGCTGCTGCTGGAGCTGCCCGTTCCCTGCTGAGCGCAGCCAGGTGAGCCTCGGTTCACCAGCTATCAGCGCACAGCCAACAACCAAACTTCATCTGAGTTTGAGGGCATTTTTACTGCAGCCTCTTGACCTCCGACTGCAGCAAGCAAACGAACTCCGAGCACTGACAGCGCCCATCTGAATAATGGATGCTCAACACTGAAAATCTATTTATAGAGAAGCCTGAGTTACCTTAAGAAAAGCCCAAAAAGAAGTAAATCTCCTTCTAACTAACACCACCTTAATGAGGAAAGAAAGAAATTATGTGCCACATCGCAGCACAGGACACGGAGGGCAGGAGAAGGGAGTAAAAGCCCTTAACCAAAGGACGTAGGTCTATACACTCCCACCCAAAAGGGCCCTTCTCAGAAGGTGTCCCAGGGCCACGCACCTCTGGCGATTCCTCTCCTGCGCAGACGCACGCGCTCCAGAGCGGCCTAGAGACGCCACACGCGGGCGGGCCCAACACACAGCTTCCATGGAACCCTTCACAAACCACTCTGGAGACTGACCGTAAAGTAACACTTGTGTTCTGCTCACTTTGACAGCAAACATGATTCTTCAAATAATAATAAAAGTAAGTGTAACTAGCATTAACAGGAAACCACTCAATAACCCTGCAAGTAATCAGCACTGGGCATAGCAGGCACTCTTCAACAGGAGGTTCGCTTTGTAAGATAACTAATATGAAAAGAATAAGCAATTGCCAGTGAATATAACTGAATGAAACAACACAGGAATAATTCAGAATTCCTTCTCAGAGAGTAATCAAAGGTTAATTTATTTTTGTTCTTAAAGTAGCACCTTTGCTGGAGATAGCTACATTTCTCTAAAAATTCAGGCAACCATCCTAACTTTGCACTACAGAAATAAATAGAAGTGAAAAAGGTTAGAAATGGTTTTGGGAAACAGATAACAATATCTATAACAAATTAAGCAGCACAAATCTAGAAATTATTTCTAAAATATTGATTACCCTAAATGTATTAAATAATATAAACAAGTTAAAAAAGTTAATGAATCTGGTGCTATTTAACCATTTCTTGAAATCTAAGTATTATTTTACCAGATTATCAGATTCTTCTGCTATTATACTGAAATAACTTGATACATATGGATATGTGTCACAGCAGCTAAAAAATCTTTCCAAAAATAAACGGAAACACAATTATGAAACAGAAATAAGATTAACTGCTATTACAATTTAGAGATCACTACTGAAATAACTTGATACATATGGATACGTGTCACAGCAGCTAAAAATATTTCCAAAAATAAACGGAAACACGATTATGAAACAGAAATAAGATTAACTACTATTACAATTTATAGATCATGAAGACATCATCATGTTGAACCCCTCCCAGAGAAGAGGCACCAATGAGTACAAACACTGAAATTAATTCTGTACCTCCACAAAAGCCTCCTGCTGTGATTTCTTCTTCAAAAGCATCTGAGAATCCCCTTCCTGCATTTAATTTTGATAGTCGACCATCAATAAACTGAAATAATAAAAAAGTCATGTTTTGTTGGCCTTTCTATTGCTTTACAATGTTAAAGTTATTGTGTACATTATAACAAAATATGCACATTCGAGATAATATATGACATAACGAAAATATATTGCTTTGAGATGGATTTTGCAAGAGTGGATGCAGCTACAAGAAGCAAAAGTGTCGGAATATTGGGCAATGAAACCACTGAAAGCTCTTCCAGAGTTTCTGCTCTGTGTATAACAAGTTACATGTATTATGCAAAATTTATATAAATCTAAATATTTGCAGAGTTATATTGTCAACAAAATTACACCTCAGTTTATAGAAATCTTTACAGCAGTTTTCATACTTTCTTTTTTATTTCCAGAGGCCTGAAAATATATTCACTTATTTCCTTACAAATGTTAGCCTTAGATTCACAATCACAACCAAATAAAAATAATTGAGAAATTCCCTGATGTTCTGTTATGAAATAATAAATTTACCTATCCCTTATCATAAACAAAAATCATAAACAAACTTCCTTGTGGATCCCCTGAGTCCCGAGTAACTGAATCCAAAGCAGAATTTGCTGATATAAATCGAAAATAGTTTCTGGAAACGTCTTACCAGCCCAGTTAATAGAAATAAGCTGGGATGTCTACTGCAGGTCCAGTAAAAGTCCTCTCTAAGGATTGTTTGTGAGGGGAAACTGGGGCAAAACCATCCACGGTGAAACCCAAGAGGATCCCTGTGCCCTGGATTCAGAAATGGTGGTAACAGCATCTTGGCAGCAATACTACTGCTACTACAACTGTCCTTACACATGGGCTAGCGCTGCATGGGTACGTGCATTTGTACTCACATATAAGTGTACATAAAGACTGAAAAGGAACAAATACTTTAGAAAGAAGTGGAGACAAGATAACTAATGAGCAAACCTCGCAGAAGAAATGAATGCATTCTTTCCAAGATTTAGTGGATATCAAAGAATTACAGTGAGATATTCTTTAAGGTTTAAAATTCTTCCAAGAGGCAAGCCATCCATTTTTGTTTTGAAAAGGCTAATTCAAGTCACAGTAAGATAAAGTGAGAAAGCACTGTCACTGTTTGGATTATATATAGTTCATTTTCTAGCAAAAATTACGAGTTATTCACTGGTACTAAACAGTACATACCAACTAACCAAAATTAATTATTTGGCTATGTCATATATTATCATGGATTATCCAAACAATGTCAGTGACAATCTGACGCTTGTCAATGAACAGAATAGTGACATGAAACAAATTATATCGCAGAGTACAAAAATTCCAGCAGCAAGAATAAGGCAAGCACAAAGATAACCATTCCTTTCTCTTTCTTGTCTAAATTCTTCTTATTTTTTCATTTTACTCCCGGTTGGCTTTTTTCCAAATAGGTTTGGTTCATGGTCAGACCACTATGGGATCACTGGATTATTTCACAGTAAAAAGAAGAGATAAGAGCATCTTTAGCTACTGCTGTGCAAAAAAACAGCCTTTGAACTATAAGACATTATCTCTTTGAGAAAAGTTATGAATTCATTTCACATTATAAACTACCACATGATTTATGGGCATACTTATCATTTGGAAAAATCCTATCAACAAAAGGCTGAGAGACTGAATTTAAGGAGTGCCTGAGGATTGCTCCAATAGAGTACTTAACACAAACAGTGACAAAGAACCACTAGCAAAACATACTGAAGAAATTATTTAATGGAAATGATGGTAGTATTAGTAGTAACATTATTAGTACTTATTTCTGTATTATTTTTGTTTTTATTTTTATCTTTTCTTAAATATCTACACTTTAAAAATAGCATGTAGCTACCCAATGTGCCCTGCACGGTTTTCTTCTTCCATTTTCCAAACCAATTCCAAAATGTTTTCCTGAGTTTGGGTTTGGAAAATGAAAGTTGTCACATTGGTTTAAGCAATGCATTCTCTTACTTCCAGATTCAAAGATCCATTGCTTGATTCCCACTTTTGGGAAAAAAAAAATCTAAAAAAGAATCTTCACAAACTAGCAACTCAATAAACCTAGAAACAGTTATTCTTCATGAAGCTTGCACACCAAATTAGAAGGTATTAATATTTATAATTTTGACTTATGTTTCTTCATGTCCTAGTGCTACATTCATTATTTTTCTGGTTAAGTTTTTCTCGACATTGGTAGTAAATGCCAATAAATTTTTCAGATTATATTATTTATATAGTTATTTATCGATCTATTCCTAAAGTAGTCCCCATGCTAGTTCTAAGAACACCTTTATATTTTCCCTGACACTTATCAGAAGTATTAGACACATGAGACACAGCTATCAATTGCCTGCATTTGAGATTTGAAAGAAATAGTATCTACCTTCTGTGTTATCCTAATTAATGGAAGTCTTTCTAGGGCTCAGAAAGAGCCAGTATACAGATATCTTACATAATAACACAAGTACCAAAGATAGCACAAAATAAACAATGGGAAAAGAAGTGACATAAGTATTATGTCCAGAAGAACAAACACTATTCAATCTGAAATAAAACTGTCATATGTAGCATATTTAACTGGGAATTAAGAATTTTTAACCTATAAATAATAGTTTTGTTTTGTTTTAAAGATCATTTCGATCCTTAGAGATTAGGAATAAAGATAATCAGGGTTTTTTAAATGGAATAACCCCAGGGAAGGAGACAGCCTCTGAAAACTATCCAGCCAAGAGCACTAAAAGGAACTTCTCACATGTCTTTACAGTTGTGATCAGTATTAGGCTATTTCTAACAAATTACTTCTGTGAATTACTGGAAGACGTGTTTTGCATAATCATTTTGTGCGTTTCATTTCAGAGCCTTATAAACAATCTTTTTAACTTCTGACTCCATGAATTCACCAACCTTTGATTTAAAAGGCATCTCTCTGAATTGTAAAGCAGAGAGAAGGGGTTGAGCCTCAAATATAATCTAGGCATACCCCTTCTTTCCTCCATCCTTCCTAAAATACTCCCTTCTCAGTTTTGGGTGAAAATTATGATACTGAATAAGTGAACAGAATTCTAATGGTTAGTGAGCATGAGATATGGAAATGGACATTATAATATTTGAGGAATAAAACTCTAAGCATTTATTATGTTCAATTAAAAAAATGTTTCACCTCTATAACACGATTCTGAGAAAACCAGCACATGAATCTGGAAGTCAAAAAATATTAATGCATCTATCAGGCTAGAGGAAGCACTGCCTAAGTGAAGAATAATAGATGCAGTATTTCTGTTCAGAAAACAAACAGGTTATGACAACTGTCAGTATGTGCTCACTTTTCGTGATGCAAAAATGGTAAATGGGAAAACGGAAGGCTATACTACATTAGTTTTCAAAACAAGGTTCTCAGATTCTTTGACAATTGATCTTCTACATAATGGAATGCATTTTACCTAGAGCACAAAAAAAGCCTCTTGGAAGTGCCTTATCAGAAAGGATTAGTTAAGATGAAATAAAAGCAGAATGGTACATGAACTTTAGCTTGGGCAAGAACCTATCCAGAAAGGAAAGGAAGAGAAAGTAATGGGATTTAAGGACAGAAGTTTGTGACTGATCCCATTTAGAGTTTAGTTAATTATTTTGTTACAAAATATTGGCATATGTCAATATATTTAGAGACATCATTAATAGAATACGTAATACGAGGTAGAAATGAACAATGTTAAAGAGAAAAAATAATCTGAATGAGAAAAACACAAAGAATTAATTGCATCCAATTAAGAATTAATTGCAACTAATTGCTAGAACATCATTGCTAGAATGATGTTCCAGTAATGTGGACCAAAGAAACTACCATCTCCAAAATGAATTGTCTTTAGAAGCATTTAATATAGAAGACTTAATATGTTTCAAAGTCATCTAAAAAAATAAAAAATAGACCTACACATACAAACACATGCAGAGTGAAAAAGGACAGAAGAGCGATTTTAGAAAATGGCACAAATAAAGCTTACTTGTCAGTCATGGCCCAGGTTTAAGGTTCCTTTTAAAAATAACTTTCTACTTAAAAGATTAGTCATTTTCAAGAACGGAGTAAAGCACAGTTTAGCCTTTCTGAACACAAATAACCTTGGAAACAGCTCATTTGTCAGTGGGAGAAGCTGGAGAACATGCAGCTGGTCTGGGGATTAGTAGAAAAAGTAGAAGGGACAGTCATAACACAAACAAAATGAGTGAAAAAATATGTACAGAAACATGATTTTTAGTATTTTCTGATCTTCGAAAATACATTATTAACTTTAGGAGAAATAGGCACAAGCACAAAACTATAAAATAATTCTTATTTAATTAAACAGGTGTTAAAATGCAAGTGCGAGCTCCACTGCCATTTTAGAGACAGCATCATTTACTTTTACAGATCTAAACCAATTTCTCACAGAAGAAAATTTACCTCCAGAGGAGTGATAATGAACTAGAAACTTCCACCTTAAGCAGGTTTCTATTAAGATATTTTCAAGATACCTTACAGCACTCGAGATATACAAAATGAAAACAAAACTATTTTCATACTCCACTATTTCTGCCTGTCGCAATCACAAGTGCTGGATAGTTCAAAAATTTTATGATATATTCTTTATTATTTTATCCTCTTATATAAATACAATACAGATGAATTTAAACATAATTTGATGACAATTCCTAACAGAACCATAAGCTTTTGAAATTCAGTTATTTAAATAATCAGTATTTTCTTAACTTCTGTTCAGTTAGGAGAAACATATTTCACTTCCACAGACTTTTATCCTTGCATAAATCTTTTCTTTAGACATTAGCCTCTGATAAATACTAAGTAACACAAGTATTTTTTGGAAAATGAAAATATTTGAAATATAATGAATTTGCCTTATCTAGCATGGTAGTATATCTTTAAAGAAGTCCAGCAGATTAGTTAAGCATGAACTCCTGAGCCAAAAACATTCCAGGTATTTGTAACCAAATAAACAAGACTCTTCAGATTTCAGCCAATTGCTCCTTGCTTTTTTTTTAAAAAAAAAAAAGAAAGAAAGAAAAAAAAAAACCCTAGTAACAAAATGTCTCTTGACTCTTAGGGTCGTATGATGGAGGGTGAGGGGAAGAATGAAAAGTCACAAAAATAGTATCAAAGAAAAAAAAAATCATTTCCAACACTGTAACAAGCCTATTAGTAAGCTACACAAGGCATTCAATACTTTGTTCTCCATACGGTATGGGCAGAGCCTTCAAGCCTCTACTCATGTCCCAGATTTCTAATATTCTGTGTGTTCTTCAGAAATGCTAGCAAGGAAAACTGCAAGTACACTGTGAATCCAGGTTTTAAATAGAATGCATTAAAGTCCAATGTAAGCAAGCCTTGCATTGCTTACGGTTTTTTCCTCATGATCCAAGAGAGCTGGAGAAACTGTGAAGTCCAACCACCAACCTGGAGGATCCCTGGCTGGCCCTGAAGACATACACATCCTGCAAAACTGTTTACTCACAAAGTATTTGCACTTAAATTTTATCCCAGAGATTCATAAGCTTATAGGAGAGAAAATACCTGTATATACGGACTATTAAAAGAAAAGGTCAATTATCCTTTCATACCTGCTTAAATAGTTGAAGATTAACAGCAGTTTCCAGGAACTGTTTGGTAGTACTGGAACGATGCTTTACAAAACTATTTTCGCAAAAAGTGATAGGTTCTCCCTAAATTTAAACAGACGAGGTTAGATGGTAGTAACTGTATATAAATATGTTGATTTATTTAGATTCATTACAAAAGTATTTTGTAATAGTCAAGTATTTTGCAATAGTCATGCAAACATTCAGACAATCTTGATAAACACTCATACAAATGACACAGACAATATCAAAAAATAGTATCAAAGAAGATAAAAATATTCTAGATAAAAATATTTTTATACAGTTTTAATAATTCAAAAAACATGTTGCAATTGAAACCCTGGTTTATAAAGGTTAAATGCCATACACCTACAAATTAGGCTTTCTCTAAAAAGAAGGAAAAAAAAAAAAAAGAGTGCTTCACAGTTGTTTCCTGTTACCTTCATTAAATTCCTCATTAAATATTTCAAGGATGTGGTTCAAATTTTAAGGAACAGCACGTCCTCTGCTTCAAATGATTTGAGAAGCGTTTCTGTGTAACATTCTCCTGATACACTGGCACAGTAAAACAGCAGTACTACTAAGCAAGAATTCTCATTCGATCCAAAAACATGAACCTCCACTAAATTATTTTTATATTATATTTTTATATAAACTTGAAAACATACAAAAATACACTGCTAACTGCTAAATTTAGGAGAAAATTATTGAAATAAAGGCTTAGTTTTGAGAGTTTTTTACATGAAAGCAAAAAGTGCAAAATTTGGGAAGCACTGTAATGAAAAAGGTCTAAAAAGGTGAGATTAACATTTAATACAATAAAATATTTGCCTGACATGAGAAAAGGCATCTCTTATCAAAAATTCTGTTTCAAATCATTTTGTGGATGAAATAAGATAAAACCAAAGTATTTGTGGAAAAAAAATAATATAATGAAAACTGTATTTAAAGCAAACATAATCGACTCCCACATTACCTTTGAATTTAATTTTAAGAGTAGCCATTTTCAGTGTGCACTGACCACAGGAAGTTACTACTTAAAATCCACTATTTTGTCAGTTAAATCACAGAGTAAATGATGCCTCAGCAATATGAAAGAAAAGAAAAAGGATCAAAAATATCTATCTACATTAAAACAGGAGACTTGTCAGACTGTCATCCACTTACAAGACCAACTTATTTATACTCATGAGGTCCAGTCTTCTGCTCCTGGCCTGGTTTACCTGTAACCTCAGGGGCTACTTCACACATTTTTCTACCACTCTAGTTTACTGTGCAGTTCTTGGCCTCTAGAATATCATAAAATGTTTTCTGAAAGTGATCTCTGCAAGAGGATTTCTTTGAGGAGCTCTAAATCATTTACTGTTGCTCTTTATACATTACACTTACTTTTAAATGGTTCAAACATAATCCAATGCAATGCTGCAGTAAAGCCACTGTCACATCCTGTTACAAATCTGTCCTGATCCTACCAAAAGCTTTCTTATTTTAAATTAGCCTGAGCATCTTGACATATCAAAGATTAGATTTCAGACATCTTAACGAAACACCCAAGCTCAAAAGAATCTAAAACCACACAGATGTCCAATCCTCCTCAGCAAAGCAATTAAGTCAATGCCTAACTTGTTCTCAAGTGTCACAGCAAGAGAAAGAACTCCCACCGGAGGATCTAGAGGCTGATTTCCTGCACGCCATCCTTCCCCCTCAACGGGGGAATACACGAGCCCTCCTCGATGCAGTACACAGATCTGTGCCAATCACGGGTGAAGATTCAAGTTACACCCGCTACTTACCACAGAAAGGTGCCTGGAGAAGACAGGCAGCACGTGAAGCATCCGCACGTGACACCTGCCGAGTAACTGGCCATGTTTGTGAGGCTGGAACTGACACTGCGTCCTGACTCGCTGTGCGTTAGCCTTCCTGGAGCTCCTAAAAACTCCCCTTAGGCAGATGACCTGAAGCCATTACCAAACTAGAACTGCATCGAAACAGATGAAATACTCTCCAGTTAGATATGGCGGACTTAGTTCTGTTGTCCTTTCAAAAATGCTGAGATAGCCAATTATAAAAGCTCCTTACATATATGTGTCTTTACCAAAAGAAACGATTTCTGGAAATACAGAAGCTGTTTTGGAAGTGGAGATTCATTGAGGTCTGATTCCATTCAATGAAACTTGAAACTCAGGACCCAGGAGAGAAAGTAGAAAAATGTTTCCAAAACTCAAGAAAATCAGGACCCAGGAGAGAAAGTAGAAAAATATTTCCAAAACGCGCTACTCAACAAAACCTAACGTCCGCTTCTACTACGGTTGTCTCGGGAAAGATGAAAACTCTCTCAGAAAGGAGGACCAGCAGAAGAGTAAACAGGCCCATTCCCTCTCTCTTTCACTCCAGCCCTAGAAGCGATTGCAGTCACAGAGCTTTACTTGATGGCACTTCTGCCTGCGCCAGGTGACAGGAGCCCTGGAGGTGGTAGCTCAACACACACTTTTAGTGCATAGTCAGTGGTGTTTTTCCCTGAATACCCTCCATTACCCATGGATACCCCCAGGTATCTGGAAAGTACTTATGCACTGGTGCATCTGTTGCCTTACCAGTCAGTTCAGGAACAGAATCACCTAAGCTAGTCTTCAAATTGAAAATGTGTTTAGACCTATAAATGGTTCAAATCCAAAAGCTCTCTACAGTATTCAAACCTACTCATATTAAGGTTGCTTTCAGAAGTTTAGTAGGTTTAAAGCTCCTGCTTCTTCAAAAAAATGAAACCTGTGAAAACTTGAAATGCCGGGGACTTGTTGCTCAGGGTATCTGCTGTAACTTTCCTGGAACTATGTTAAACAATAAAATTAACTTCTATCTCTCACTTGCTTGATATTCTGAACACCAAAATTGTTTTGCAGATAAAAATGGTTTGGAAATCTTCAAGATGAAGACTGCAAACACGGGGGATTTTGAAGTGCTACTTAAAACTGAAATTCATTCAGTATAAATAAAAACAGCTCTAGAAGTTTCCTGACATGAAGCATATAACATATTCCTGCTCTGGTAAACACAAGTGAGTACTTTAGAAACTCTAAGACTTGAAGGAATGTTCCACTGATATTTAACTACTACAGCACCTAATAGCCCCTTTAGTATTGATCTACAATGTACTTTCAAAACAAGTTCGATCAAAACCCAGTAGGGATTCTACACTGAAAAGCAGACAGCTAATACTCAGACCAAACAATCTATGCCCAAACAAGATATCTGTCCTTTTAACAACAGTTGCTATAGAATTTTCCTCCCTTTTCAGAGGTTGCCACACACAGCAGGAGTCTCTTCCTCTAAGCTGCATTCGCATTTTAAGCAAGCTATTTATACCGACCTCAGTGGAACATGAAACATTGAGCTAAATCTGTGTGCTAGCTTTAAAAGCAAAAACAATCTAGATTAGAAGTTATGTTTGTGCTTCTAAGTCTAAATGACGTTTAACTGCAGTAGATACTCACATTTGCATTCTTTATTTCAGAAAATATATTCATTTCTTTCTAACATAAGAATACTCTTACAGCAACTATTAATACTATCACTGAATTTAATACAGTTTTATGTAGGAACTCTGGCTTATACAAGAAGAGTATATGGTAGGTATAATTTCTTCAGTTTTGCATCATTTATCAGAAAAAAAATCAGTTTTTAAACACAATACTTATTTTTATAGAAAAACTCCTCTGTTTAAAATCAGAGCATCTAGTAGGATTACAAGTAAGTAAAAACCTGGCATTTTGGCTGCTGTTATGACATCCGGAGATAAAGCTCAAGTGAATAATCATGCATGACTTAATAATAATTCTACTCAGGAGGGTGCTGAGAAAAATTACAAATATATTTCTCATTTGGCCTGGCAATCTACACGAGCAAAGATCTAGATGAGCTGCTATCTCCTGTAGTCACAATTAAATCCCTCTAATGTTGGTGTGAACACAACATCTGTATTCAGTAAAAGGCTGCTTTAGTCCTTACTACAAATTCTAAAATATGGCTCTTATACAAACTAAAATGGAAACAACTCATGGAAATAACAATAGAGTCACGCTACACAAAGTGGCTTTGTATCTAAACACAAACTACGTTCTGGCATCTGATTTTTTTTCCCCTCTATTAGCATCTTTTTACCAAGCATGCCAAACTCCTGGGGAAAAGGCATACAACCAATTTCTATTTCAAGAGATATTTTCTTTAATTCATTATCATGATTGAATCATACAAAAGACCGGTTCCACTTTTCATGGTAACTTTTACTGGATTAACATCTGTCATCATTTATTGCACAAAAAATATGATCATCCATTATGCATCTTATTTCCTGTCAGTATTATAGTCATCAATTTTTTTCCATATGGTCTTTTGGAGTCCCATGAACCCCTTTCAGGACTCCTAAAGCTTCCCATTTTCCATCTCACCAATCATATTTTTTTCAATAATTGCTAGACGTTTTTTTTTCAAGACATATTGCTCTACCAAGGAGAATCTGTCCTATGCTGAAAACAAACAGTTGCACAGAATGAGTGTTCAGTGTGATGAACAGCGTTTGGACTGCAGAGAAGTGTTGGATGCGTACAGACGCTACCAAAGCTGTTCTTTACTCAATGTGAATATTAATGACAGTTGTTTTATGTTTCAGCTTAAAATCACTCAGAACACACTGTTGCAGGGAAAATAGTTCACTTTAAACATATTTTTCTTCTTACAAGCAAGCACTAACTACCCAAACACATAATTTTACTTTTGTTTGGAGATTTGGTGATTCTAAAATTGATGGCCCAAAACCTCTCAGGTCTTGATCCTTAAAAGATGACCAGTCTATTCACAGCAAAAGTATTCCAAAAGTATATAGAAAATTATCTAAATCAAAGTTATATGTGATTTTTGAACGCCCAAATTCCAAAGTATTAAACTGAATTCAAATATCTCGTATAAGATGAATCAAACCATCATGTGACTCAATGGCTACTCATTACTACTAATTTGGAGGAAATTCAACCTCTAACAACATTTTCTACCCCGAAAGTAATTCTGTAAGATATTCCATTCATTAAATAATGTAATGATTAATTAGAATATTAATGTATATGTGAATACAGCTAAAAGTAAGTAGAGTGAATATTCACACTTGGGGAAAAAAAAAATCCAGAAAGTAACAGTCATTTCAATCTTGGTCTTTGGATAAGCGATAACAATTCCAGATATTTGCCAGCAGACTCCTACTAAAACATTCTGAAATAACATACCTTAAATAAATCATCATGCTACAATTATATCACAAATATCTTCTCTTATGTACAAATACTGGAGCCCCCTCCAAAAAAACAATAGTCAAAAGAAAATGCTTGACAAATGCTTCCCAACTGAAATGACAAAGCGTGCATTAGTTCCAAACATTGGAAATGCAGATATTGGATATGGATGCACGTCAAGAAGCAAATTAAGAACAGATATGACTTCAGCAGGCACACTAACCAGAATCCTAGAGATGCCTGCACATTTGCTTCAGGCTTACCAAAACATAACGAATTGATTCAAGCCTATTTCTGACCAGATGAGAGCTTAAGACGATCGGCCAGCAAGATGTAATTCACATATATCACAGGTAGATTAAGAAACTCACAGTCTTAAAAGCTCTGAACGCAACCTGCCACGGCTGACACCAACCGGTGTCCTCACCTTCAGACTGCGGGACAAATCAGGTAACCCCTTGTGAAGCAACGCTAGGTAATGCCCGTGTGAAACAAACAACTATCCATTGTGTTCAAAGGATCGATTAAAGAAATTCATACCGTGTTGGACTCTAGAGATTTGGAAATTAGGCCCAGTTATTTCAATACACTACGCAACCATCTTGCTGTATCAAACAAAAATTATAATGACTATTAAGCACAATTACTTGGGCTGAACCCTAAAACATTTCTTCACTCCTACATGGGTTACTTTTCATCTCAATCAAAATGGCTGTCAATTGCATAGATAGCTAGTAATGCTCCCAGTCAAAAAGACTACTTGTAAAATAACTGCTTGTGCAGGAGACAGACCATCCCATACTATCTTTCACTACTACTCTTTTAGGAAAAAGCCTCTTCTGGAAATAAACCATTCTATGTATTTCTGTCACACACACACACACACGTTTCACGTATTACCACCTCCGCCAAGGAACATTTCTCTTATCAAATAACAATATTTACCTTAATTATCCTGAAACCAGACCATCAAACACTCTGAATTTAGATATGAATATTTAAAATATCAGATCATGAGAAGCTTAATCAGTCACTATCATCTCAATGCATTTCATCAAATGGAGCTCAGTATGAGCAAGTCTGCGAAAATTACTTCAGGCTCACAGTTTAAATGAAACTCTCCATATCTACTAAGTTATTTTAACTCTAACAGGTACAGTATGTGCCACTTACTCTCATAATCAAAGGGTGAAAGCCTATAACATCTGAATCATCTACCATCTACCAGCAAAACTTTGGAAATATGAATTCTTAAGTTGTGATGAGATGGACCAGGTTTTCATTACGTCCAATTTTCAGTGAAATCAAACCAAGTGCATCAGAGAAGAGATGCACATCTCAAAAGAGATTTGTCGTCTCTAGCTACTACCAGGAAATAAGAAACTTTTGAGCTCCAAGAAAGCACAGTCTTGAGACCCATATGGGAAACAAGAGAGTTTAAGACCTCAAAAGGCCAAGCCTTTTCAGTCCTTCATAAAGTAAGGTTAACTGTTTAAGCAGCTTTATTTATTTAGTGTATTATATTAGTTGTACAAATACTAAAGTAGCTGACTATGGACATGCATTTATTTTCCAACACAACTAACCATCATGAGATAGAAGTGTCTTCTAAACTGCCAACTTACCAGCCTAGAGTAAAAACTAAAACCTTTTCCTTGAAACGCTTCAGATAGTTGTGATAAAGAATTACGTATTTTTCTTGTAAAACAATGAGTCTATGTTCTTAAAAATGAAGGAAAAAAAGAATTAACGGAAAGATCTTACTGGTTTGTATCTTAGTGCATCTCTGTAGGATCCAAACAGCGCTGCCTGTGCCCGAAGAAAGGCCTTTGCTACTCCATCACCCGTAGCTGTAGACTGCTTTTTCAGTTTATTTTTCAAGGCCGAGACCTGCATGACAGAGTGGAACAGTTAAATTAACACCTCAGAAATTGGTACAGCGAGGTACGAACCCAATCAGCAGGCAAACCATGGCGTCTACAGGTCAGCCAAAATTTCATCCTCCTTCTTGATAGCTTATCTTTTTAACTGCAAGGAGCACCTGCTGGTCTGTTAATTGAAATGAAAGCAGGGGATGATGGTAGAGTGTTAATACAAATTGGTTTATGCTCTCTTTTTTTCCCAAGGCCTCTTGACATAAATACGCTTAATTATTTTGCAATAAACTGCTTGTGAGCCACTTTTTTTTCGGGTTTTTTTCAACCATAACATGTACCTACTTGTGCTGAATGAAGTCAGTACGGTATTTTTCATTTCTGCTATGAAGGCATGTTTTTAAGAACTCTTCAGGCTCACATGCAACTCATTTTTGGGGATTTTTAAAATGCCAAATTACTAATATACAACATTTCTCATGCACCATGAGATTAGATCCTACCACTGTCAACTGAGCTGAGAAAAGTTTGTGCTAGTTCAGTGGTACATGCTCTTTAGAATAGCCCTCATGGATAAAACAACATGCTTACAACTGTATTAAAAATAATTCTCTCTGTTTTAGTGCTCCATTTTTTTAAGGAATCAAATTGATTATACAAAATTGGAAAGAATGAAAAACACTAATTTAATAGTCATTATTTTGTTAAAGATGAAGAAAAATCATACAGTTCTGAAATTAATACAGTCCCATCTAAAGATACGTGAAATTATACCCAAGTATAGTTTATTTTCACTCCCTAGATTTGATCAGGGTGATTATCTGCAGAAATAAGTCAGCACTAATTCTTCGGAATATGTTTCCATTTCCCTCAGTATTAAAACATACCCAGTCAAGCAATATTTAAATGAAATAGTACTCGAGGTAGGATTAAAGTAACTCTTTAAGCAGGGCAGTATAAGCACAAAATACTACCAAAACAACTTTCATTCTTTTAGAAATGTATGCAGGAGTGAGTATCTTTTTGTTTCTTTATGCAAGCAGTCATGACTGCTCTTGTAGATGATGATTGTAATTGAAGTGTCAACCTAATTAACAACTAAACTTTGAATAATGCTAATGAGAACTGAACATGGCATCAGAGAAAAGACCAGCTCTACAGGTGATAAACCTTCACAGTAGTGACATTTTCCAGTGTAAAGTCACAGTTACTGTGATCTGATCAAAGAGAGAGACCCCCATTGGGTCCAATTATAACTATAGTTTTGAAAAAAAAATTATTGAGTTATGATGTTCATAATCTATGCAGAAAGGCCTTTACAGTATAGGTCTTTTCCCCATAGCTGTGATCTTTTCAATTTATATCCAAGCTCCACAGATCTAGATAAAAGTTTACAGTCTGATTCGTTTAGCCCACGGAAAGCACACACCAATGCTCATTTACGTTTCTTCCTTCCACCTCAAAAGAAAAAAGAAAAAAAAAAAAAAGCACAATTCAAAGTACAAAAATCAGTTAGGTAGTTCAAGGTTGAAAAAATAAATGCTCGTCATTTTACTTTCTTTGTTCTGCAGTGTATGATTACTTAAAAGTTATTAAAAATGAGGTTCAATTCCAGAGGAAATAAATGTGTACATCCTCTGTAAAAGTGAAATCATCACCATCAATGTTAGCTCACTTCCTCTAAAGCAAAAACAACAAGAGGTCGAAAAAAGAACAGTCAAAATTAAAATCAGTTACCTTTGACATGAGGAAGAGACTACTTTTCCCCCCCTAAAGGAGATTCCCATTTTTTAGGTAGAAAATTCCTCTTGTATTTAGAATTTCTTGTAAATTACACACTATAAAAATGATTTTATCATTCAAAATGTATAATTTAGAAAAAAACCCCCAACACTTCACATACTTTTCTTTAAAAAAAGACCCAGTGCTTAGTTCTTTTTTAAAAAACAGAAAATAAACACAGTATTTTGGTTAAAAATAGAAAACTTTTTAAAAAAATGAAATTTTACTTGCAAAATGTAACTGAAAATAATTTTCAATTTCCAAGTTATGGATTAAATAACTCAAGTTTCTCAAAGATGTATGTCACGTTGCAATACGATCAAATGAAAAAATATTGAGAAAATCTTTTAAAAGAACAGCATGCCTATGTTGAATTCAAGTTACCTTAGTTACCTTAAAACTAGCAACAGTTTCCTCAATTTAAGATAATTATGGCTTGTAGATACAGACCAGGGTCCAACTGTCATTGTCTTTTAGGACTTATTTCTCATCAAATAAAAAACCTCGACTTGCGCCACGGAGTTCCGCAACAAAGTGGGAGCCATCCTTGACCTTCCGCCACACGGACATCCAAACGAAGCTGCGCGAACGCCCTGCCCAGCTGAGAGTTTCGCAGCAACCCAGCTACTATCTCCCGGCCTCAGTTTCCCTGGGGACTGAATCAAACTGCTCTGCACATTGCCTGCTAGCTAAGTCTCCTACCCCAGCATGTGCTCTACCAACATCGAATAGTTTACAGCCTCCTGGTTGGTAACGCAATTTCAACAAAGCTTTTGTTGGTCAAGTATTAATGGAAATAATAAAAAGAAAAAAGAAAACCTATTGCAAAGATGCATCTTCATTTCACCTTACGATGATAAACTTTTTTTTTTTTTCAGATAGATAAATAGTTGCATCATTTTTGGAGGTAAAGACAGAGCACACAGGTAAAGGACCACATTCCTTGGTAAAAGGTAAAAGGAATAGTATTTCCTGTATTTTTAAATAGAAGAAGAATACAGAAATAAAATAATAGATTATATCCTATAATTTATATAGGAGAACAAAAAAAAAAGACACTTCTGTGCACTGTGCAATGAGGAGTTTGCTGTTACTATGGTAGATTACAAGAGGCAATATGAGGCGATAGGGAAGATGTAGGAAAAAATAGAAGATAAAGTGAGGGATATGAAGGAAAATGGAATATTCTGATTTTTTCAGATATGACAAGCACTACTCACCCTAAAATAAATCAGTTAATCAGGAAGTTTTTAGCAAATTCATTTAAAAATAGAAATAGAAAAGAACATATCACCCACTCCAGTGCAGTATTGACAGCACTTTTTCACATGCCATTAGTTCAATAACATTAAGAACCTGCCAAGAGGTTATCAAACTTGAAGGTGGGGATGTTCTGATACAAACGTATGCTAGAATGCTACATCCTCCATGGTTTAATCGTGTTTTAACACAGTCAGGAGATGTATTAACATGTTGCCATCAAGTTTTTGCTTCAGAAAGTCTGTGCTGGAGTCCAGAGAAAATTCCTCCAACTTCTGCTTCTCTCAAGAGGCCATGGAAAAGGACAGGGAAAGCTCTCTTGGCTTGTCCTGTAGAAGTGCTAGGAGAACAACGTTCTTGAGAAGAGCCTACTAAGATGACGTGTGGCAGAGGGGAGGGCAAGCAGAGTGACAAAGCAAATGTGATGGTGCCGAGGGCTCGCTGGAGAAGAGCCCTTTCTGTGGTTGTGTGGAGGCCACACGCAGGTGCCCTCCGAGACACTCCCCAGGGCCCCAGTCACCACAGCGCAGTCCTGGCCGACCCGCTCGTGCTCCCTTGCTGCCTGCCCGCGTTCCCTTCTTGCAGGAGTCCAAAGCCTTGTCCTCTGAGGGCTGCAGAACCATCCTTGATATTTGCATGCACGCAAACCTCAGGGACTATGAGAGCTCTGAAGAGAGATAGTCATTTCCCTGGGAGGGAGTTGTCAGGCTTTACATCACTTTTCACCGTTCTCCATCAATCCAGGTCACTACAAATGTGGCCTCACTCTCAAAAGTGAGAGGGTGAGAGGAAGTGAGTAACAAAAAAACACCTCACAACAAAATGAAGTGTCAGTAAATCAGTATGAGTAATGAAAAAGCTTCCATATAGTTGCTATACCTAGGCACCTAAAATTCTGCTATCTCAGCTAGACCTCCAATATTTAAACAAAATATTAATTGAGATTAAAATATCTATTTAAATACAAATATCTTCCAAATTGGGTGTATTTTTAAATCAGATATTCAGCCTTCTAAAATTATTTCAAGGTTCAACAGAATCTCAAAGCTTCGTTCAACATGAACAATTGCTGTTAACACTAGCACTGTTAACTATTCTTGGTTTCTAAAATATTTTCTAATTGAAAAACATGATAAAGTCAGATATTTTATTTTTACATCAAATCTTTTCAGCTGCAATATTAACCATTGACCATAGCTTCTTTACTATTCCACCAATCATTGTCTTTTCAGAAACGATTTCACTTCCAGTAATTATTTTATAAAGCAGCTCTTTGAATTTCTGAATGAATTACAGTCTACTTTTGAAATGCTACTTTTGGGGCAGCAATGTTTATCCACCCAATTTATAGTGTTAAAATATTTAATAATCTAAAATAAAACTCAAATAATAATTGTCTCTGTAATGTTTATGCAATCTATGCTATAAAGCCTATGTATCTTCAAACTGCCGTACTGATTTTACTGTTTGTTAATCATATTTATCATTAACAGAGAATGCTATAAACTCACAGAGATTATTACTCATACTTATAAAAATACAACTTAAAGTCTACTCTGAAATAAAAGACTTGGTTGCTAAAGGCGATGCCCTCCATTCTCCACATTTTTATGAAAATGCTCAACTTTGTTCAAAGGGTTGTAACCTTTCTGCCAGTAGGCATTGCAGGATCAGGCTGCAAGTTTATAAATTTATAAACGTCTATAGTATACGTTGATTTATAAACATCAGGAAAAACTTTCTTTTGCTCTAAGGTCTTACAGTCTGACCCAAGTATTATTGCATTAGGAAATTTACGCCCACAGAAGTAGCTACTTATTTTCACTTTTTTATTAAAAAATAATAGACAAATCCACAGTGAAATGATGAAATCTAAAAACAAGTGTTCTTGTCAGAAAAGAGGAAAAAGAGGGTTTTTTTTTTCCCTCCTCTAAGAAAACAAAGGATTCCTGAAAGTCTTGCACTGATTTATTTTTCCAATTTTAAATACGTTAGGAGTAACGGAACTGCTACTGGCATGGTAGTATTTCTAACAGTCAATAAATCTAAAATATTATGTGTGAATATTGGAATGAAGCCATTAAGAAGATTACAGCATGCAACGCAGCAGAGGGTCCACATGAAAAAAGGACTGGTAATTCAGGACAACTGTGACCACTGACCTTTGCACAGTCAGGACCACTGGTCAGTCTGACAGAATAATAGAGTTCACATGCATAGAAAGTCATCTAGCCTGTAACTATAATTTAAATACTTGAGTGAATGATTTAAAATGCCTTTTAAATCTCAGTTAATTTATTATATAGTTTATTACACAATATCACAGTGATGTTTTTCAATCTCAAATTTATCACAAAAAATCACAATTGGAGTATTTTAATAGACATATTGCTATACATAAAAACATATGTGCAAACACCTATGACCTGAGAATATTATCATCAGGTTTATTGATCAGGAAAGTAATTATTTAATTTGCTTCAGACAGAAGAAACAGCTCAGGAATACCCTTTGAAACTATTGCATTTGTTTTGTTAGGCTGTTAATCTATCAGGAATCTCTTTTTCAAAGGGATGGCAAATCTACAGCTTCTTTTGTATTTTTAGTACTTCGTCTATTTTAACACCCTTCAACACTACTCTTGCTTGTTATATTTTTAGATCAGAAGTCTTATTACCTTCATACGTATACTTAAAAGTCTAATTTATATAAGCTTAAATGCTTCACCTTTGACCTCTGTTTTTATGTTTTAAGTTTATCCCACCATTTTTGTTCTACACCTCTGTATTTTATACATTTTAACCCAGATGTTAGCAGCTGCATTATCCCCGATGAATGCAGAAGGACAAACATGCTGTCATTTTATTTGCCAAAACACTGGTAATCTCTGTGTCTTTTGTTTTCAGGATTTCCACCTAATAGCTGGATATATTGTTTCTTTAAACTGCT